GAAGCCTAACGTGCCTTTGATCGTGCTGGTGATTTGTGTTTTTCAGATTTTCCTTGTCCTTGTTTTGTGCCTTCTTAATCTGTGCTGTTCTGAAAAAACGCTCTGATCCCCGTCTGTAATTGTGAACTTGTTGATTTTTGTTCTCCCAATCTGCTCTATGCTTCTCAAAGCTACGTTGTGAGACACATAAAAGCTTGGGTCCTTCACAATTGGCTGGTGCAGTATTATGGTTACAACTGTAAAACATTGCCCTTCTTAGCAATATCTACCTTGATTTTGTAACTTGTCTGATATTAGCAATGCTGCAGCAGCTTTATTTTTATTAGAATTTGCCTGATACGTTTTTTATATAACTTTATTTTTTGTTCCTTTTTTTAAAAAATAAAAATGAATAAAGGAAAGAAGAATATAACAGCCACTTTTCACTACGCAGAATAATTGGCTAACATTTTGTGCTGTTTTAGTCTTTCTTCCCACTCCCTCACCCCTGCCATCTTCCCCACCGCCTTCTTCCCCAGCTCTGTCACCCCTCTCTCCACTGCCCCACCTTTCCCCTCTCATTTCCCTTCCCCCCTCTCTCTTATTTTCTTTTTTTTTTTGTGCAGTGGCACAATCTCGGCTCACTGCAACCTACACCTTCTGGGTTCAAGCGATTCTCCTGCCTCAGCATCGGGAGTAGCTGGGATTACAGGCGCGCGCCACCACATGCCTGGCTCATTTTTGTATTTTTAGTAGAGATGGGGTTTCACCATGTGGGCAAGGCTGGTCTCGAACTCCTGACCTCAAGTAATTCACCCACCTCGGCCTCCCAAAGTGCTGGAATTACAGGCATGAGCCACCGCACCCAACCTCATTTTCATTATTTTTTATTCTTCTGTCTAGCTATTCATCTATGGACCAGAAAGCTTGAGTATGCCTGTATCCCTTTTTTGGTACAGCAGGCTGCATTTACATTTGTGTCAGGCAGAGCAACACTTCCCGATCTTTAGAAAAGAAAGAAAACCCATCATCAAGCTAAAACTACCTCTCCCTGCCTCGGTCACATTGCCTTTGCCTTCCCCACTTTGTGACTCAATCCTTCTCTTGACATTAAGAGGTTCCTTTCAGTCCATTTTTATACCTGTATTATCTACTTAGCTGTGTGGATGTTGGAAGCAGTTTTATGTGCAGTTTTTAAATGTGTGTAAATGGCATCACTGGGTAGCACTGTTCTGTATTTTCCCTTTTCTCACACGATAGTGTGTAAATGTATCCATGTTAAATATATGGGTTGTGTTCCACTCCTTATACTATTCCGTCTTACAAATATCCCACATTTTATCTATATGTCTCTCTACTAATTTATATCATTTCACTCTTCTCTTTGCTGTGTGTGTGTGTGTGTGTGTGTGTGTGTCTGGCTTCTTTCACTCAACTTGTATTTGTGTGATCCAACTGCGCAGTTACTGTAGTTACAGCTCAGTCATTTGTCATTGCTGTATGGTGCTCCATTGTAGAAATGCACATTTGTACGTGTGTATCAACTCTTCTGTAGATGGACATTTAAGGTTCTTCTCAGTTTTTGCGTATTGCAAATAACAGTACTATGAACACTCTTGTATATGTCTTTTGGTGTGCATATATATGCTTCAGTATTAGGTATATATTTAGGAGTGGAATTGATGGGTTGCAGGGTATGTATATGTTTAATTTCAGAGAGTCATACATTTTTTACAATGTAGTTTTGTACTAATTTACACAACTGTGCCAGGTGCTCTACGTTCTTGCCAGGACATTAGGTTTTTAATTTTTGCCACTCTGGTAAGTGTAGTGGTATCTCATAGTTCTAATTTTCATTTTTCCTATACGACTAATGAGTGAACTTTTTCATACACGTATCAGCCCTTTGGATATACTCTTGTGAGGTGCTTATTCATGAAATATGCCCCTTTTTCTCAAATGGATTGCCTTATTCTTATTGACTTGGAAGGCTAGAGTTATTTTTTGGCTGAGGTCTTTTGTCAGATAAATTATTGCAAATATCTCCCTCTATTCTGTGGCCTTTTCTCTCCATCTTCTTATTGTGTCTTTTGATAAAGACCAGTTTTGAATTTTAGGGGAGTCAAATTTAGCAGTCTTCCTTCAGGGATACTGCTTTTGCAGTTTTGTTTAACCTTTCCCTACTCCTATGTTGTGAAGACCTTCTAGAAATACTGTTTTATCTTGCACATTTTGATCTATAACTGACTTGATTTTTGTGTGTGGAGTGAGATAGGAGTCAGATTTCACATCCATCAGCGATGCTGAAATAAATTTAATAGATATAAAACTGGTAAAACCAGTGGTCAGTATCCACAAGGCAGTGATCAATTGAATCTCCACAGGACACAATTTGCATTTCTATGGACAAGAATAATTTGCATTATTCAGACAATAAAACATGGAGAAACCATATAAAATCAGATAATCTGGACAGCTGATAACCTATATTCTCTCTACATATACTGTTCTTTGAATTCTCCTTTAAACAAGCTGGAACATCTTATTGGTTCCCTTGTTAATAAGATTTCTGACATGTTCATTTTATATCTTTATGAGAGTTATGGTTGTATCCATTTAAAAAGTGGTTATTTGGCAGTTCTAATTTCATCTTTGCTTTTTAATATTCCTTGCTCATCTTCTAATGCAGAGGTTCGTCATAGGTGAATTAAATCTTTGGATCAGGGTCACTAATCCAACCATTGGGGGCTGGGGGCTGGGGGTCAGAGGTATGAGATACAACATGGCTTCCTGTGAACCAGGGATTGTTGGCAAGAAACGCAGTGATGGACAGTTCTAGGGAGCCCATCACTCAGCTGAGAAATACAGGGACTTATTATAAAGTCCTTGCTCCTTCCAACACTAAACATGCTTTCAAAACTGATAAATTGAAGAGCACTCAAGTATTAATCTTACAAACTTGAGTTTCAACATAGAGTGAGTTTTTGCTGAAGGTAAGATAAACCTGTAACCTACAGAAATGTGGGATAAATAGGACAGTAAAACACATTTCAAAAAATAACTGTAACTCTACCTATCTCATGACTAAATTATTTTTTTGTGTGTATTTTATTTGGGAATATAAAAGGTGAATAGCAGTTTTTAAAAAAAGTTCTGGGCAGATTGCTATATTCATTCAGATTAAACTTTTATTTTTCAAAATGTGATACAGCTGTTTAATTTTCACATTAATAATAGCCAACATCTGTGTGACTCATTAACTTAATTCTCTATGTACACAAAGCACATACTGTTTATATAAAAAATAAATTAAGCTTTAATAATGAAACATAAGTTTACAAATGCAGCTTCTCAAGGCCTAATGAAAAATAAGAAATGTGGAAATTTCCGAGAGGCATGATCACTGTGGAATCTGGCTATTCAGAAAGAAAATATTTTGAAAATTAAAAACCAGGGACAAATTATTGAGTATTTTTAAATGCCAATTTTGTAATTCTGTGTAATTCCAAATCTAAATATTAACTTTTTGTTGGTTAGAAGATAGCTTTTACGGTTGGGTTCAAAAAGCTAAATGTCACATAGGTTGAAGGTTAAGTTATTTTCCTTTTAAAGTGAAAAGGGCTGAGGCCCTTTTTAGCCATCCTTTTTGCTTCCAAATACAATTCATCACTTAGTGGTCCTAGATCAGCAATCTTAACATTTTATGCTCAGATACTTCTTAAGTGAATTTTGAAAATCTGTGTATGTTCTTGCACATTGCTATACTGACATCTAAAATTTCTCATCATGAATAGTTGCAAAGTGCTGGCATACCATAGACACTACATGTTTAAATAAAACTGTTGTATTCCTTTTCAAAATTTAGCCCAGGAGGTTCTAAATATAAGTTATTTGATAGATACTGTGATCTTTTTAAAAATTTTATGAACAGGGCCATTTTTTTTATGATCAGTCTTACCTGGAGCAAGGCAATTTTTAGTAGCAGGGAATGCCCCACTTTTCCTTTTACTCCTTGAATTTGTATCTTCATACCACTTCTCCCTCAAAATTTTAGCCTAATACATTTTTTATTTTTATGTTGTTTAATTCTATCTCTGTACCAAAAGTATTATATAGTATCCTATAATCCTAATGCTGTAAGCCTTTAAAAATGTTCTTCTGGATTGAACTCAATCAATAAACACATAGCACAAATTTCACCAAATTATTAAACATAGTAAAACTTCATTGGAAATGTATCACTTAACGAGATGAAGAGGGCTCTTCTCCACAATTATTTCATCTTATGTGGATTGATAACATCTTAAGATTGAGCCAAAGTTCATCATCGATTCTATTTTCCCTTTTCAATTTCATTTATGGAGGTGTTGATCCTTGTTCACATAGATACATCAGTGATAGCAGAATCACTGAATTCTTCCAACCCCTTTTGTAGTTACATGCTAAGAGACTCAGAAATCTACAGGCTGTTCCTTCTAGTTTGTTGAAAGCAGAGAATTTGAAACCACCAGAAAAATTTGGAAAATCCATTTGCAAAAAGATTTGTGCCCTGTTAAGTCTTTCACTTTCCAAATACCCACATTTTGAATTTTATACCTTGGGTCATGCTTTACAATAAGACTAGAGGTGGAGAAAGCCATATTTTCTTTTGTAAGGTGAGAAAAGGGCATTTTCTCAGGCAAGTGAGTCTTAGAGAAGAATACAACAGGAAGATGAGGCTCTGAACACTGCTCCCCCGAGAGTACTGGAGTCTCTGTATTCCTTGGAAAGCTCTGGTATACTCCCAGGGGTAAGTGTAGCTTAATCTAAAGACCACTGGTCGTGGCAACTTAAGTTTAGATTTTAACTAGGTCACAAAGCATACGAAGTATTAGACCATGTTGCCCGGCTGCCTTACTTAATAGAGCAGCAGGGCTTCAAATGTGTTCCACTATAGATAAGTCCCACGAGACACTTCTGGTAAAAGGATTCTGAGATCAAATGTGGAAAACAAGACCCTCTACACCTTTCACTCCTGCACATCTAGTCTCACAGTAGAAAAACTGTTTAGCTTTTATAACCTAAGTTTCCCAAACTCACAAGGCCTAACCAGCCTCCCCACTTTATTTTTCCATGTAATCACCAATATTCTAAATAACCCACTTAGGAAAATGGGGAACAAAAACAATGTAACACATGTGCAGTGGTGGTTTTGATCTATCAGTGCTGCTTCCATCTTTCAGAACATGCCTGTTCCGAGTCTTCTTGGCCTGGATTGCCTATGCTTTAACAGTCATGTAGGAGGCATATCTCAGCTAGATACGGAGGTTATGTAGCATCAAATAGACTCTGGAAACAGCCACGGTACCATGTGTGCCTTTCCTGAGAGAATCAGTCCCTAACACCACCAAGAACCAGATCAACGTGTTACTCTGTCAAGGACAGGAGGAAGGAACCAAAGCAAGTACTTTCTAATGGTGGATTCCAGTTGTAGCACCAGGAGGAGGAGACAGTTTTAGGCAGAGGGTTCTTCCCAGCACCATTTATGTCATAATCCCCTGACTGCTCTTTGGCCATGCATGGGTTTTACACAGCAGCAGCTGGAGAGAGGTTTAGCTTCTGCTTCCTATGCTGCCATATGTCAATTTCTTTGATAAGGTATGGAAAATCCATTTTGGGCAGAAAGGGGATGCAGGCCTTAGCACTGTGGCTTTAGAGCAGAATGAAGTGGGGAGCTGAAAGGAGGTAATGACAGCAACACCTGAGCTATACTGTGTAGAAGTCATGACAGAGCTAAGAGGAGTTGGGGGAGATGCCAGGAGCAATAAATAGGTTCTGGTAGCTACCTGGCCAAAGGTGAATGGGGCCCTGGCTACGGAGTGCCTGTAGCACTCATCATAGTGCCTTTTTCACCCAGCCTTTCTTGAAAGTTGCTTTGAACATCTGCCACTAAGAGGAATGTTCTTTCTTCAGTTGCTGACTGCCAAATAAAAGAGCAAACTCCCAGTTGGAGGAGTAACTGGAGTAATAGCACCCCATAACAGCCCTTCCTTGGCCAGACTGCTGTTCCCTGTATTCCTGGCTTCAGGCAAGGTAAATACCTTTCTTTTAGGAGCTCGTGGATGGAGATGATTGATGAGACCCATAGCTTTTTATTTTTTTAACATCACACCCCCAAATCTTGGCACTGTATTTGGCATGTGGAGGTGATCAGTAAGTTTTTGTAGAGTGACGGGACCAGAAGGGTCTTCTGGTCTGAGCCTGATTCGTTCTGCCCTGCTCTTCAGCAGTACATGCATGCTAAGCCCAGCATTTCAGATAACAAGAGGAGGGCCAGATGGGTTTCTAGGGGCCAGTTCCATCCACATCAAGCATCAGGCTTACTGCTGGTTTGTTCTTCCCCACCATAGCCATTGCTTTTCACAGTTACACCCGTTTTCCCATCAGTTGTAAATTCACTCATTGAGAAGTTTTGACTCTACCAACCAACTCCCTTCCCAACCCAGCACTCTCCTCTCCTTTAAAAAGCCATATTACATCACTGGTATCTGTTAGTATCTTAAGATGCAGAGGTGTAAAGCCCTCACCAGCCGCACGTATTATCATGAACTAGGTAGGTTTGCCCCAAGGGAGATGGCTGCATTTGAAATTTTCTGTAACACCCTAATGCTTAGCCCATTAAAGCTCAGCTTGCTGCTCCAGAAAACTGGGTAACCCAGAGACATTTCGCCATCAACCTAACTTTTGTCTACCTCTTTCAAGCAGCAATTGACCTCTTGCCTGTGGAGAGCTGTGGACCGAGGGCCTTTCCAGCAGCCTCCCAGCCAGTTCAGTAGGGCCATGGGGGATTAGTGGGGACAGAGCCTACCAGCAGCTGGCAGAGCCAGGGGCAAGTGAGAACCTGCCCCTGCAGCAGAGCTCTGGTCTCTCTGGTGGGCTTTTTAAAACAAAGAGGCCCCAAGATTCCCACCTCCATCCCAGTAACTCTGGTCACAAAACAAGCCCTCACCATTCATTAGAAATTGTCTTAATGAAGAGATCCCATCACTCAGCCATTTTCTTGTGGACTGCAGCAGGCAGCCAGTGGTAGTAAAGTACATTGAACTGAGCAGGCTGCCTTTGGGTAGGGCTTCTCTTTGGGCCCTTATGGAATTATTTGCCTTTTAGTTAAAATCCTTTTCAGAATCTAATGAATAGTTTCTTACATTTCCAGCTCATCTTCTATGGACGTCAATTACCTGGATCATTAGAGGTAGAATCTTCTTGGCCAGAAAAGAAATCCTGTTTACTGTGTACAGGTTGTGCAACAGAAGGCTTAAGTGATCAAGGTTTTCATTGGTTTTATTCAATGAGGTTTGGAACATGAGAGGCCAAAAATGAGGAGCACATTTTGGGGAATCCTCTATAAAGAATATAAGTTAAGGAAGTTGTCCAAGATGAAAATAGTGGCAGGAAGTTACCCCAGCTCATGCCAGTTGGGTCTTCAGAAATGTCACCTTGATGGCAGGCTTGAAGAAAAGATGTCACAGATTAGCGTCTTCCTGGAATGTGAAGAGGGCACATTCTCTTACATGCAAACACACATGTGCACACACACAGTACCCTTACACACATAATCCAGCTTCTATGAGTAAAACTTGCTGTTGCTGACTCTCTTCTCTCTTAACCTGAAATAAAACAGATTTCACCGTCAGCACTGGGGCATGAGAAATGGGCTGTGTGCTGAACTCTGTAACATTTCTCTGTCCATACATTTGCCAGTCATTCATAGCTGGATGGTGTAGGGCTGAGTGTCAGACAGGCAAGCTCCAAGTTCCTGGTAAGACACTGAGACTCAGAAAGGTTAAATCTCCTCAATGGTAAAATAGAGTAAGAGCTACTCTGCAGGCTGACATGAAGATTAAATGAGAATAATGTAAGGCAGGCAGCACAGTTTCTCATTGGTGGCTACTATTAGGACTTTTGTCTGGATGATTCTTAGTACTTTTAGACACATTATGAAATACTTGTCAACCCTGGCCACCCCGTATCCCATTACATGCCTGTAGCACAACCAGAAGCATCCCTGTTGGGGGATCTTGACCCAGTCTAGAGCCACTGGACTAGCCCGTTCTTGAGAACACAATAAGGACTCCTTAAAAGTCGGTGGTCACCATTTATTTTCACTATTAAATTGAAATGTCCTTCTAGAGGAAATAGTTCTACTTAGGGGAAGTGGCAAGCGCCTAAGGTATTACTTTAAGTTAATTTCTAGAACAAAGAGCACTAGAGTCAAGGGTGCCAAAGCATTTTTTTGTTTTGAGATGGAGTCTCCCTCTGTTGCCCAGGCTAGAGTGCAATGGCGCGATCTCAGTTCACTGCAGCCTCTGCCTCCCAAGTTCCGAGTCTCCTGCCTCAGCCTCCAGAGTAGCCGGGATTACAGGCACCTGCCACCACGCCTGGCTAATTTTTGTATTTTCAGTAGAGACTGCGTTTCTCCATGTTGAGCATGCTGGTCTTGAACTCCTGACCTCAGGTGATCCAACCACCTCAGCCTCCCAAAGTGCTGGGATTACAGGCATGAGCCACCATGCCCGGCCAAGGATTTCTGAAGAAAGCAACTCAGAGGGCTTTCCAGAAGCCTGGCCCCTGGTGCCCAATATCACTGTGCCTAGAGACCTCCCAAAAGTTTGCAGGTGGAGGGGCTGACCTACCTCTTGTTGCATTTCTCCTGGTACAGCTGGAGCTGGTTCTCATTAACATTGAACTCTTTAACCAGGGCATCCCGGTTGGCATTGCGCAAGTTCTGGTGTGTGTCATACAGAAAGAGTTGGTTGTTCAGTTCTTCTTGCCGCCTCCTTAGCTGGCGACAGGAGGAGTAAAGTTCCTCTTCGCTCTCCTGCAGGATGCGGGGGAGAGAACAACCATGTGGTGACTACACCTTCCAAACGAAAATGTGAACGTGGCATCTCACAAGCACACCTGAAGGGAACATGGGGCAGAAGTTTTGCAACTTGGATTAGCCCAGAAGAGCCAGGGCCTATTTTAACCAAAGATAAAACACAATTATTTATTGTGTGGGAAGCAAGCCGTCTAAAAAGTGCTTGGTCTTTACACTGTCACTTTATTGCAAAACATTGAAATAATTACTACACTGCCCGTAGATCCTATTTCTTAATCTAATCCAGTTTTCCCTTGGTCTACATGTCACCTTCTGGTCTTTAACTACAAAAGCATCTAAGCAGCTGCATGCTTAAAGTGGAACCCAGCAGAGGAGAAAAAACAGCATGACATGAGAGCAACAAGGCAGGCAAGAGGCAGATAATTTAAAATCTTTTAAGGGTCTTAAAAGGCAAGGTAACAAGCTGCAACATGGATGAACCTTGAAAACATTATTCTAAGTGAAAGAGCCCAACTCTAAAAGATCACATATTGCGCGATGCCATTTATATGAAGTGTCCAGAACTAGCGAAATGTTAGAGACAAAGTAGATTAAAGGTTACCAGGGTCTAGGGGAAGGAGTGAGTGACAGCAGCTAATGAGCATGTGATTCCTTTTTGGGTGTTGGAAATGTTCTAAAATTGATTGTGGCCATGACTGTACAACACGTAATAGGCTATAAACCATTGAATTGTACACTTTAAATGAGTGATGATAAGATATGTGGGTATATGAATTATCTCTCAAAGCTGTTACCCAAAAAAGCCAAGGTATCGTAAATTACACCTTGCAGAGATGGGCATGTGCCTCACCTGTAGCCGGTAATGATTTCTACTTCCCCGACCAGTACCACCTCCAGGCACATGACCCAGTCAAGGCCAACTAGATGCATCCGTGGGACTTTCATTGGTGTTCTGGGTAGAGTGTCTTTTCTTGGGATCAGGTGAAAGAGTGAGTGTGGTCCTGTCGTGGCCACATCGCTATTGTGTCAAGAAGTTGGGAATGTGCCAAAAAAAGAGGAAAACAGCCACTGCGTGAGCACAGAGATTCAGCCATGACTGAAACAAGACCTACTCCTAAACTTTTCAGTTGCAGGAGCCAAAATAGTACATTATACTAGAGGAGACAAAAAGATAAAACCCACTCAGGGTAGGGAGTTTGGGCTTCAGTGCAGAGGGAGGATGAGGATGTTGTACCTCATCTGTTTCAGAGGGTCACTGACTACTGTGTGAAGCTTGGCTTTGCAGGAGGTCAAGTCAATTGGCCTTTCCTGATGGAGTTCAAGTGAAAGACTCCTGTGCTACAAAAACGTGTGTCAAGGTGCACAAACAAGATCCTTTGCCATTTACTTTTAGAAAAACATGGACTCGGACCATACTCTGCAAGGTTTTTTTCCTACTTTAATGACCTAACAAAACGGTCCCCAGGGTAACAGCTGGAACTGGACTTTGGAAAAGGGGGAGAGAAAATGGTTATTCCAGCTGTTTGCAAAGGTTGAAGAGTAAGCAAAGGTGAAATGGGCTGTCCTTGGTGATTAAGTGAATGTGTGAAGTGAGGCACTGGGAAGAGTCAGTAATGACTTCACTTAAATGTATTCCCTTCCTAAAGGGAATACATAGCTTTCCTCCCTATGAGGAATAAAGCATATTAAAAAGTCAAACAATAGATGCTGGTGAGGCTGTGGAGAAATAGGAAACTTACACTGTTGGTGGGAATGAAAATTAGTTCCACCATTGTGGAAGACAGTATGGTGGTTCCTCAAGGATCTAGAACAAGGAATACCATTTGACCCAGCAATCCCATTACTGGGTATGTACCCAAAGGAATATAAATCATTCTACTGTAAAGACCCATGCACATGTACGTTTATTGCAGCACTGTGTACAACAGCAAAGACATGGAACCAACCCAAATGCCCATCAATGACAGACTAGATAAAGAAAATGTGGTACATACACAGCATGGAACACTATGCAGCCATAAAAAGGAATGAGATAATGTCCTTTGCAGGGACATGGATGACGCTGGAAGCCATCATCCTCAGCAAACACAGGAACAGAAAACAAAATACCACATGTTCTCACTCATAAGTGGGAGTTGAACAATGAGGACACAGGGAGGGGAATAACACACACCAGGGTTAGTTGGGGGATGGGGGGAGGGAGAGCATTAGGACAAACAGCTAATGCATGTGGGACTTAAAACCTAGATGACAGGTTGATGAGTGCAGCAAACCACCATGGCACATGTAACAAACCTACACGTTCTGCACTTGTATCCTGGAACTTAAAGTAAAAATTTAAAGAATAAAGTTCAAGGAAAAGTTAAAAAATAATAATAAAAAAAAATAAAGTCGCCGGGCGCAGTGCCTCAGGTCTATAATCCCAGCACTTTGGGAGGCTGAGGTGGGGGGAATGCTTGACTAGGAGTTCAAGACCAGCCTGGGCAACATAGTGGGACCCTGTTTCTATAAAAAATGTGAAAATTAGCCGGGCATGGTGGCATACCCTGTACTCCCAGCTATTCAGGAGGCTGAGGGGGTAAGATCACATGAGCCCAGGAGGTTAAGGCTGCAGTAAGCCACGATCATGCCACTGTACTCCAGCCTGGGTAAGACAATGAGACCCTGTCTCAAAAAATAAAGCAAAACGAAAACCCCATTTAAGTCTTAATTATATACCATGAAAGGTCTCTCTTTTCCCTTGTCTGCACCTAGAAGAAAATGACTTCTATTGTTTTATTCTATATAATGAGTATTTGTTATTCAGGTGCAAGTTCAAAATTCACTTTTTCTATGAATGCTTCTGTAACTGCAGCCCTATCACCTTTTCTGAGTCCCAAAATATTTACAACTATATTACATACTGTAGTCCTGGGTACACTATAGATATATGAGATAGAATGCACATTCAGAAAAGAACATAAAAGATAGAAACCATTTACTGAATAACTCTACAGCAAGTGAACCAGTCTTCTTGACTTGAGGAACCACCATTCTAGTCAAGAGAAAGCATTTTGTAATACTTATTTCCTGGATTTCTTTTGAGTCTGAGTTTTCACTTAAAAATTTAGTTTATTTTATTAGAAAATAAAGGAAGCCTTTGGTAGTAAGTTTTACCTGGCCTGAGACAAAATCTTTATGGCATTCTCTGCCTTTAGTTTTTTTTTTTCCTGTTTGTTGCGTGGGGGGAAAATATACAAAAGTAAAGTTTTTCCCCCACCAATACTTTTTAAATTGTTTTATGTTGGAAGTTTAAGCTTACAAAAAAGTACAGTAATAGTACAATGTTCTACATACCCCAACCACCTAGACTCCACAGTGTTAACATCTTGCACAACCACAGTACAAGTATCAAAACTAAGAAATTAATATCGGTGCAATACTAAAACTACACATCTTATTCATATTTCATTGGGTTTTCTACCAATGTCCTTTTCCTGTTCCCACATCAAATCTGGGATCCCACACAACCTTTAGTCATTGTGCTACCTTAGTCTCCTACAATCGGTATGGTTTCCTCATTCCTCCTTCAGGACACTTTGGAAGAGTGCTAGTCAGTTATTTTGTATGAATGTCTAGCAACTTTCATTTGTCTGGTGTCTTCTTCTATGTTGTTTGAGGTGACGCAGTTTTGGCAAGAATGTCACAGAAGCAATGTACCCTTCTCAGCGTCTCACATCAGGAAGGACGTGATTTCAACATGCCTTATTCCAGGTGGTTGGTAACACTGATCATCTGATTAAAATGGTGCCTGCAGGGTCTATCCGCTGTAAAGCTGCTATTTTCTTCTAATTGATACATTTCTTGGAGGAAGACACTTTTGGGACAATGGAAATATATTTCTCTTCCAACTTTCATTTAGCATTCATCAGTAGGTCTTACTGCAGCAGTTAGTGCTATGCTGTTTTGATAGTGATTTTCTAGTTTCTTCATTCCTTCTACATTTATTAATCAGAATTCGTTTGTGGGGAGGACGGACTCTTCTCTCTCATGTATTCATTCATTCACAGACACGTAGCTATTTCATTCCGTGTGCTAGAATCCAATATTATTATTTTGCTATGCAAATTGTTCCAGCTGTGGCCATTGGGAGCTCTCCCTGGTTGGTTCTTAGGCCCCTTTGATGCCACCATTTTTTCAGCACTTCTTTATTTACTGAAACATTAAGATGCTCCAGGTTCTTTTTATATTTTATTTATCCCAAGTCTGGAAATCAACTACTTGTCTAAGGAGCCCTGATTTCTTTTTATTGGAATATGATATTTGGCAATATCTGGAATTCAGAAACCAATGACTGGGGTGTCATTAATTCTAGGCACTCAGCAGAGTGAGCTAGGATATGTATGTATTTGTAGTAACATGTAAACACACATTTATTCATCTACCTATGTGTGAATCTATATATAAGTACATATGTAACTTAAGTGAGTTTATATTGATATCTCCAATTCCAATCAAACATTAATTTTGGAAGAATTGGTATAAATTTCTACTTGTTCACATGGTGTTTTTTAATAAGATTTTATGTTTTTCCTTATATAAGTTCTATACCTTTATTTAAATTACTCCTAAATGTGTTATGGTTTTTGTCAGTAACACAAATGGGATTTCCCATTTGTCCCTTCCTCCCACACCACATTTCTGTTACTTCCAGAACAGACAGAAGTGGTTACATTCAGTAAATACAAGACAAAGTCTCTCTTCAAAATTGAAGTCTTCCTGTTTTGTAAACTATACAATCAGAATTTGTATAGTTTAAATTTGTATAGAATAGAGATCACCTGACCTTTTTTCTACAATTATACTGATTATTTCATTTGGCTGATTACATTTATGGCATCTACTAGTTTATGCTTTTTTCATATTTAATTTGTTGCTAACTGTGCCACTGTTAAACCATCCTTGCATTCCCGGAATAAATGCTTAGTTGTAATATATTGCTCTTCTAGTAAACAGCT